CCAAGCGGTGTSGTAGAACGACCAATCAAACATCGCATTGAAATCCTRCCRGGAAGTTCAATTCCTAAGGGGCCTATCTATAGGATGTCACCAAAAGAATTAGATGAAYTGCGAACCCAGCTTGATGAGTTGCTKGCAAATGGGTGGATAAGACCTAGCTCCTCGCCCTATGGTGCGCCTGTATTATTCGTTCCAAAGAAAGATGGCGGCGTACGCATGTGTATAGACTATAGAAGGCTAAATGACATAACCATTAAAAATGCTGAGCCATTACCCAGAATCGATGATTTGTTGGATCGAGTGCAAGGTAGCAAGTACTTCACTAAGATTGACCTGAAGTCTGGCTACCATCAGATTGAGGTAGAGCCAGAAGACCAACATAAGACTGCCTTTCGAACCAGGTACGGGCACTATGAGTTCGTGGTATTGCCGTTTGGTCTTACGAATGCACCTGCAACTTTCCAAAGAACGATGAATGAGCTTTTTCGTGAATGGCTTGATAAATTTGTTGTTATATATCTCGATGATATTCTAATTTTTAGTAAAGATTTAAAAGAACATTGCGAGCACCTTCGACTTGTGCTAAATAAGTTGCGTGAAGCAGAATTGAAGTTAAACCCAAAGAAGTGTGATTGGGCTAAGCGTCAGGTTTTGTATTTGGGGCATGTGCTTGATGGTGATGGTATCAAACCGGAAGATTCAAAAATTGCAGCTATTAGAGATTGGCCAAACCCCCGCACTTTGACTGAGTTGCGGTCGTTCCTTGGGCTAGCCAACTATTATCGGAAGTTTGTCAAACACCCCTTCATGATAATTGTTGCACCCCTTCGCAGATTGCTTAAGAAAGAAACTATCTGGAAGTGGGATTCAAACTGCACGGCTTCGTTCAAACGCCTCAAGAAATGTCTAATTAACTACCCGGTTTTGAAGGTTGCTGATCCTTCCTTGCCCTTTGTTGTCACAACCGACGCCAGTCAGTACGGGATAGGTGTTGTACTCCAGCAAGATGATGGAAATGGATACAAACCTGTAGAGTTTATGTCCCGCCGCGTGCCTAATGAGAAGGTCGCCGCTTCTACATACGAACGGGAGTTGTATGCTCTCAGAAAAGCCCAGGACATTGGCGACACTATCTCCTAGGAAGACACTTCAAAGTGTACTTAGATCATGAGACACTTCGCTGGCTCAAAACGCAAGTACGGATGACCCCTAAGCTGACTAGGTGGGCCGCCGAAATCGATCAATATGACTTTGAGCTAAAGCCAGTTATGGGTAAGTACAACGTTGTTGCTGACGCATTGAGTCGAAGATCTGACTTTTTCGGTGCCGTTGTGACGTACTTAGATATGGGCACCGATTTACAAGATAAAATTAGGAAAGCATATGCCACAGATCCTGTCTATGGCGCTATGATCAAACGTGTGCAAGAAGCGTCACAAGAGTTTCCTAACTATCGTGTTACACAGGGACTGTTGTTTGAACAAACAGATGTGCATGACAGGTTTTGCATTCCAAATGTGGAAGAGATCAAAAGCTTGATCTTAGGGGAATGCCATGATACTGAAGGCCATTTCGGCTGGAAGAAGACTTATATAGGCCTGATACGTTCCTATACATGGCCTCGCATGAAAGCCGACTACATTGCATATGTGCAAGGTTGTCAAGTGTGCCAACGAAACAAGAGCACTACTCAACCTCCCCTTGGATTACTAAAGCCCTTGCCAATACCAACAGGACCAGGAGACTCTGTATCCATTGACCTTATGGATACTAAGGTAAAGAGCAGGAATGGAAAAACGCAAGTTATGGTCGTCGTTGACAGATTTAGTAAATATGCTGTGTTTGTAGCATTACCAGCGGAAGCTAAGACTGAATTAGTAATCCGGGAATTCTTTAACCATTGGGTAAAAGATTATGGACATCCCTTAACAATTGTAAGTGACAGAGATTCACGTTTCACAAGTGAACAATGACAACAACTTATGAATGTCTATGGCTCTAAGTAAACTATGTCATCAGGTAGACACCCTGAAACAAACGGTCAGACTGAGCAAATGAACAAAGTTTTGCAGCAAACATTGCGCATGTACATCCGCCCCGATCAGATTGATTGGGATGAACATTTGCCCAAAGTTGCTAGTGCCTATAACAATTCTGTTCACCTATCTACATGCAGGACTCCGATGGAACTGCATCTGGGATGGCGACCACGCAGACCCATTGATCGTTTGAATCCCGATCAAGTACATAAGCTTCCTCTAGGGACAAGTGAGTGCGCAATACAGTATCAGAAAGATATTGAAAAGGTCAAGGACAATATAATCAAGGCAGAACACCAAATGATAGAACAGGCAAATAAGCACAGAAGACCCTCTCAATTCGCTGTTGGTGATTTGGTATGGGTCAAGTACAGAGAGTTTGCCCCTGAGGAGAATATTTCTCAAAAGTTATTACCCGCCTACAAAGGACCTTGGCAGATTCTTGATGTGATTGGAGAAGTAGATAGACCTTCTTATGTCGTTAAGATTCCTCTACATTTGCATACATATCCGGTGTTTCACGCCTCAAAGCTTCTACCTTGCGTGACAAATGAGTTGTTTCCCAGTCGCAGATCGTCGATACCTCCTAGTATGGATGGGAAATATGACGTGGATAAGATTATTGTTGAAAGCACTTTCCAAACCGGACGAAGAGGCAGACCCCAGCGACAATATAAGGTAAGATTCGCCTATCAAAATCCAAGTGAAGATCGTTGGTATACAAGAGAAGACTTACTTGAGTCTGCACCTCAGATTGTATCTGCATATGAAAAAGCTAAAAGAGGAATAAGTATTATTAATAGGTGAAGGTTTTCTCAGAGGACTTCGAATCTAGGCCGGCGAGAGTAAAAGGGCCTTTACCCGATTCAACCCCTGTTCGACGAGAGCAGCATATTGGGGTACCTCGCCCAAAGCCCAATTCGTGAAAGCAGATCAAAAGGCATGTTTTTTGGGTCAAAGGTCACATCCTAAACTAAAACAAAAGACATTGTCAAAGGTCATAGTTGTGCCCCTAGACGAACAGTTGCAATATCTGGGTCACATTTGTTCATCCAGGGGGTGTGCGAGTCATATCTTTTCGTGCAATGAAAAGTGTCTGTTCATGCAAAAGATGTGTTTGTCTAAAAAGAAGTCAAAGAGTTAAGTCTCAGTCTAGATTCGAGTCAGGGGGACAATCTAGATACAGACAAGCAGTCCGAAATTGAGGCCTACAGGCCGCAGCAGCAGCAACCCTTGAAGGACAGGGAGTCTGGGACAAATACACCGAGGTTGGGATTGGGAAAGGACCCAAGACAGACCGAATTCAGCCCTCGTTTGGGGAGGCCAGCACTATAAGAAACGAGATTGCCTCCCCACAAGGCAGATTTTCCACTGGCATTGATGCGTGGAAGTGCTGCGGCACTTGTGCGCTAGCTGGCTGGATAGGCGCTGGCTGAAGTAGAGCTGCGCCAGGAAGAAGGGAGGCTGGGCGCTGGCTGCAGGGAAGCCATAGCTGCGCCAGTCCATGTTAGTAGTCGAGGGTTAGTCAGTAGGACATCAATGATTGACATTCAAAGTAGATCTTCGTAGATGAGAGTGTGCATGCAGAGAGAGGAGAGGGAACTAAGACATAGTTTCAGAGAGAGAGAGAGGACAGGGAGTAGTCTGGATATGGTGGACACTTACCTGCTGCGCCACACTTGAGATCTGAAGGAGGACTCTGGCAGAGCCCGGTCCCATGTTGTTGTTTGATGAGGGAGACTCACCTCTTGTTGGCGCTGAACTCTGGAACTCATGATACTCTTTGTATTCAATGATATTGATAATATAAGTTGCACTACTGGTTCGTATCCCATCTCAATCTGGTTTTGTGTGAGACCACCTTGTACGTGTGATGACATGTATGTATGAGGTGTGATACTCTCAAGCAAGCTGTGAACAGTCAGGTTCCTTGCACATGAGCCTCCTGTGGCTCTTTCCGGAAGTTGCAGCCTCGAAGGGCAGTTGAGCCCAGGGCCCCGTACAGTTAAAGGCCCTGGGCGTGTGTTTTCAGAGGCCGACACATCACACAACAACCATGGACCAATGAGATTGCAGCATTGTCGGCACATAGTGGCCGTGAGCCAATGAGATCACAGTGAACATGTAGAGGCCGTGGACTGCCGGGACATGCCCAACTGTAAGGGGGCCCAGGCCCGTAACTGCAACTGGACCTGGGCGTAGACATTGAGGCCCGACTGTAAGCTACTGGAAAGTCGTCCAGCCAGGCCCAGAGCTCATCAAGCGGAGCTCACTTCCCATATAGGAAAGTGAGCGTTGCAACTTCGTGTTTTGCACGAAGCTGCCAGCTGGCTCGCGCGCAAGGGCGCTGAGGTGTGAGGTGCACTGCTGGGCAGTGGGCGCACGGTGTCGGGGCCGAACCCTGAAGGAATTTTGGGTCGACCCCACTGCGGGTCCCACTTGGCTCGACCCGCCCACGCTCATTCTCAGGGCGCGGGTCGTTCGTCCCAGGGGCACCCACACCTAGTGCTATGAGATGGATGGGGTTGGGCCAATACGGCGAGAGAGCTTGACATTGGGGATGTAGCTCAGCCCTCTAGCCGGGTGGTAGCCTCACTGGTCTAGGTCCGCAGGCGTAAGGTTTTCGATTCTCCGTTTGTCTTACCAGGCAATTGCKCCTTCCAAWACWCAGGCAGTCCAGGGAGGTTCATTGAGAGCTTTCTCTTCTTTACGGTGCGTAGGCTAAGCATTCTCCTTAGGCCACGCACTCCTTCACTAACGGCCCTAGTTTCCTATAGCATCATCGGGGTGGCTCGTCCCTCTCCCCCTAGCCCCTATCTTTCCTCTAGTCGGCCTACGCATACATCTCCCAGGTCTCGTGACCACCCTTAGTCCTTCCAGGCGGCCGTACCAAACTCGCGACCCAACCACAACCACACATCACGGCAAAGTCAGCCTCCGACCCCATCCCCGACCCTTAGTCTTTTCAGGTCGCGCTAGTCATGCAATCGTCAAAGCCCAAAGTCCATCCCGACCGTTCGAGATTCAAACCCCCTTATGGTCCCATGTCGCACAATCCCTTCATTGCCAGATCGTCCAAGCCACTTACCTGCAACACATCCAAATAAACATGACAATGGCATACGTCCGTCCCCGATGGGGTCAACACACCGCCCCTCATGCAAGTCCAAGTCTTCCCTTTCCTTTTTCCATGCTTTTGGGTGCTTTCCTTCCTTCCTCAC